CAGTTTCTCTAGAGAGGAATCCTGTATGGTGACAGGCACACTAGGAGTCCTGACAAAGGACAGCCCACAGCTACTCTGTCTACAGCCTGTGCCTCAGCTTCCTGACAAGCCTGCAGCCCTAGGTCTAGGGTCTCTCCAGTTCATTTCCTGTGGAAAGTAAACCTTTGTTCTCTTGCTAGAAGGTTGGCTGAGGTGGAGAGGGTACCCTGGCAGGAATGGTGGTATCTGGTGCTGTGAGGTGGCAGAGACCACCTGTATGGAGGTCCAGCTGCCATGTATTGAAATTTTCAACTCCGCAGCTATGTGTAGTCCTTACGTCATCTGTGACTTTTGCAGCCCCAGGTAAGCCAGGCACCTGGCTTCTCAGAAGTTCTGTAGTGGCCCAGATCCTTCCCCCATGAGGTAACACTTCTCCAGCCACATTCTGTCTTCTAAAAACCTGTGAAACTCTCCATTGGGGTGCTTCAGGAGCAAGTAACAGAAAGCAGAACTACCATGAGCTTCATGAGGAAAAGTGTCACATGTGACAAGAAGTACAGAGCTGAAGAGCACTGTCTCCACAGATCAGGGACTGATTTGCTCCCTCTGCCTTTTTTTTTTTCCTATAATTGGGGTTTGAACTGAGGGCCTCGAACTTGCTAGGCAGGTGCTCTACCACTTGAGCCACGCCTCCAGCCCTTTTTGTGTTGGTTATTTTTGAGATAGGGTCCCACTTTATGCCCAGGCCAGCCTGGACCACAGTTCTCCTATTTGTGCTTCCCTGGGATGACAGGTGCATGTCACTGAGCCCAGTCAGTGGAGTCTTGTGAACCTTTTGCCTGGACTAGCCTTAAACTACCATCCTTTGAATCTCCACCTCTCAAATAGCTAGGATTACAGGCTTTAGCCACCATGCCTGGCTTACCAGCCATTTATTAATTGCTTGGCACTTTTGTTTTGTTTGGACAGAATCTTAATGTGTAGCCCAGGCTGGGCTTGAACTTTGATTCTCTGGTCTCAGCCTCCTGAGTGCTGGGATAACAGGTATGTGCCACCATGCCTGGTTCTCTGCCCTTACTCTCTTTGGACTTTTGACCTTGTCTTCAAAGTCCTGTAGCAAGATGGCTGCAGCCATTCCAGGCCTATCCAGACCCAACAAGGTCCAGATGAAGCTTATGTCTCCTCATGTGTCTTTCCTCTGAATATTCTTTATATTTTAGAGCAGTTAGGTTCACAGAAAAATTGAGCTAAAGGTCCCCAGAGTTCCCATATGCCTTCTGCACATGCACAGCCTCCCTAACTAGCATCGTCTTCTTCCAGAGCCTTCTGTCACTTTTTTAAAGTATGAAAAATATTTCCAAAAGTTCCCCACTCCCAAAAATAAATGTTCTCCTATTTCTCATGCTCTTTTCTAAACCAGTCATTAGCAAGCAAGATTAAAGAGATTCCTATTCATTTAGGTCTTTGGTGGATATTAGGAAGTCATCCATAACTACTCCTCTCTGCTGATCTCTTTGTTCTTTGACTCTCATGACTTTTTAAAAATCTCTTACTGTCATTTTAGTAGGATTTGGGGAGGGAAAGGAGATAAATGTGTGTGACTCCTCTTCCCCATGTTACAAGAAGGTCTCCACACTCCCATGTTTGCTGCAACATTTTCAAGATATGGAAACATATCGTGAGTCCATTGATGGATGAGTCTATAAAGAAATTTTGGGAGCAGATGTACTCTGCAGAAAGCACAGACAGGGCTGGCTTCCATCTCTCACCTGTACCTTCTACAAGGAGGTACCAGCAGCTGGCTGGAGGCTCCTTCTGGAGTGGTAGTGGGTCTCCAAAGTGCCTGGTTACTCCAAGTAGACAGCTGGAGAAGGAGGCTGCCACCCACCGCCTAGCCAAGTAAAATCTCAGTGACAGAGGAAAAGGGTTCCTATCTTCCATAGAGTCCTGTGACCTCAAAGTCCCTCTCCTCCCCTACCTCACCACAATCACCAACAAGCAAAGCTCTGCACCCCTCCAAGCTTCCTTTGCTGGTGCCTTGTCTCAGCCTGGGTCCCTGCCGAGTTATTCTCAACACCCCATGAATGAATGAATGAACAAATTTTGGTTCATATAACAGTTGAAGAAAATTGGGTGCCAGTGGCGCATGCCTGTAATCCTAGCTACTTAGGCTGAGATCAGGAGGATCGCAGTTCGAGACCAGCCCAAGCAAATAGTTCATGAAACTCTGTATCTCCAGCCCAGGGGAAAATGGGCTGCAGTTGTAGCTCAAGCGGTAGAGTACCTGCTTTGCAAGCACAGAGCCCTGAGTTCAGACCTCCCCCAGTGCCAACAACAACAACATAAAGGTTAAAGTAACTTTCTGTATAACCATGCTGCTATTAAACACTGAACAAAGTCCAGCTCACTTTATCCTACAGGACAGGGAAGTCCTGTCGTGATGGGGAGAAGCTTCAACAAGCGCCTACTAGAACTCTGGAAACAAATGTTCATCTTTAGAGGGTTAGTTAATAAATTATGATATATCTACATTATGGATTACTGGAGAATATAAAAAATGATGCTACACGGAAAGATTTCTACATCACTAGGTTTAAAACAAAATAAAAAGCTGTCTCAAAATAGTAATGCAGCGTGATCCCTTTCTTACTTACAGATGTGCATGTGGACGCACAGTAAAGAAGTCTGGAAGGACACACACCAGCATGCTAATAGCACTTGATCTTGGGTGGCAGGATTCTGGATGCCGTTTTCTTTGTGTGCCAGCATCATCTAAATTGTTTACTATTTGAGTCTCCAGTGTGAGCACGTAATTGTATTTGCTTCCCTTCTCAACACAGAAGAGCAGGGATGGAGGAAGGTCTGGAGAGAGGTGTGCTTTGGACTGTAGGGCTTTACCATGCAGATGAGTGTCATCCTTATTTTAATTTATTGTATCTCATTTTATTTTTGGCAGTACTAAGGATTGAACCCAGGACTTCATGCTTGCTAGGCAAGCATTCTACCACTTGAGTTATGCCCCCAGCCTGCGTCCTTGTTTTTGTAAGAATGAAATTGGGAAAGTCAGCAATAAATTGTCCTCCCACCCAAACTTTTATAATGACACTAAATAGCTAGGACCTTGTTTTCTTTAGTTTTGTTCTTGTGGCAAAATATACATAACATAAAATTTGCCATTTTAACCATTTTTAATTGCACAGTGAAGTGATAGTAAGTCCATCACCATTGTACAGAGGACCATCCTTCTCCAGAACTCCCTCATCACTCTAGTTGAAACTCTGCACCTGTTAAACACTAACTCCCCATTCCTCCTTCTCTCTAGCTCATAACTACTGTCTATCTCATAAGTGGAATCAAACAATATTGCGCTTTGTGCTGGTTTATTTCACTTTGGACAGTGGCCTCAAGTTTCATCCATGTGTATCCAAATTTCATTCCCTTTTCAGAAGGCTTAACTAATATTCCATTGCATATATGTATCACAATTTGTTTATCCATCCATCCATGGTGAACATCTGTGGCTGTTTTGAAGCAACTGCTTTTGGAATCTGGTTTGCTTTCTGGTATTTGAGACCTGAGAAAATTTCAAGGCAACAAAGAATCCAGGGTGAAAATGAGAAAGTGACAAATCAAAAGCATTGTTACCTGTGACTTGAAGGTGCAGCTTCCAAAGCAGAAAATGGAAAAGTGATTTTCTTTAAAGTCTTGATTTTTGCCCCCAAAACTTCCTTTTCCCCCTGTCTTTGCTACCTCTCCCTCATCAATCACCTGCTAAAAAATGTTGAAGTAAAAACTACTAACAACAACTATTTGTCTTCTACCTTTTCTGCTAACGTGGATGGGTTTGTTTCTGAGTGTTCCTTGTTTCATTTCGTTTTTTCTTGTTTATACTGCTTAGGAAGTATGTAGTGCTACTTCTTACTGTTATGTGGCTTTTTTGTAAGCTTAGTTATAATTGAGAGGACATCTGTTAGATTGTTTCATAGAATCCATTCACTCCTTCATTGAGAAAAATTTCTCTTCAACACCTATGATGAGCCATCCTTACCAGGTAAAGAAAAAGAGGCTTGTCAAAAATTAAATTGAGATACTCATTCTCAGAAGATACCATTAAACTATACACAGCTCAATATTTAAAAACAGGTGTGACTGGGGTAAAGGGCTAGTGCCTATCACTGGGGTAAAACCTTATGCCAGTGTGATAACAGTTTCATAAAGTTGTACTTTAACAGCAAAGAAAGAAGGGCTGGGTATGGTGGTGCATGCCTGTTACCATAGCTACAGAGAATAGGATTGGTTTGAGGCCAGTCCAGGCAAAAAAGTTAGTGAGACCCTATCTAAAAAACAAGCAGGGCATAGTGACATACACCTATGACCTCAGCTACTTGAGAGGCAAAGGTAGGAGGATCATCCAAGCCAGTGCTGGACAAAAAGAAATAAGGGGCAGGGGGAGATCCTATCTGAAATATAACTAAAGCAAAAAGGGCTAGGATTCAAGGGCAAAGCCCTGAGTTCAAACCCCAGTACTGCCAAAAAATAAAAAAGCAGAGTATTCATAGGACTGGTCTTCATGAGTGATACTTTGTTGATTGGTCTGATCTTGTTCACCTGGTTAGAAGATGATTGGAAAGTTGACCTGTTAGGTTGCACTTTCAAAAGGAGGTAACTTGTGCCAAATATAAATTGTTTACATGCAAATGGGCAAGCAGATGCAATTGAATTTATAGAAGGCAGTTGTGGTTAAATTAACTCTTATAGTTCTTCCACTCACATTTGGGTTTTTCTCTCAGAACTATATTGTGTCCCACAGACAGCAAGCTGGGGAGACCTAACTCCACCATCACTGGAGAGCACTGTCACTGAACCCTTCAACCTCAGTTTGCAAGATTGCCATCCCCCTGCCCTCCTTGACATGGGGGCAGAGCTGATCAGCCTCCTCTCTGGGAGCCAGGCCGAGCTCTCTGGCTGGGTCTCGTTACTACAGAACATTTATTCTGTTTGTTCTCCCCTCTTGCTCATAGACCTTCATCTGCAAACAGCATAAGCAGCAGTGCGTCTTCAAATCACAGTGGCTACACTCCAGAGCCTCCTCTGCCCTCAGTTGGAGGTGACCTTGCCAGCCGGCTGTCCAGTGATGAAGGGGAGATGGACGGAGCCGAGGAATCTGAGAAGTTAGATTGTCAGTTCTCTGCACACCATCCCAGACCTCTTGCGGTAGGCTTCCTTCTGTCCTCTGTCCCCTCCATACGGTCTCCCCTGTGCTCACAGACCCTTGGCAGTCATGGCAGAGGCCTGCACACCTAGGGAAAAGCACCGCTACAGAGCTTTACCCAAAGGCTTATCCATGAGGTCGAACGGTGGCATTTGAAATCCCCTTGAGCATCCCACAAAGGAAGGAAAGGGCTCCTGACTGGTTCTAATCTTTTAACACCTAAGCATTTGTGATCTTGAAGTGAGAATGTTTAAGAAATGACATTTGTATATAAAGTGCCATCGGGAGCCAACTTTCTGGCCTTGCCATCTAAAAATGGAGCCTCTGATATCCAGAGTTAGCCAGGCGCACCTACTATGGAAACAGTTATTAGTAATTGTGACCATATGGCACCAGAACAGAGGTGGAAGGGATGGATGAAGTATTTCATTCATGTCAGCGTTGTTGCTCATTAACAAAATGGGCACTTTCTTTCCAACTGCTTGAATGAGTCCAGTTTAACAATTCAGATGGCCATTGAAATCATATTGGTTTATCAAGGTTTCAGCTGGAGGCTGGTTTGCATTTGCCTCATGAACCCTTGAGAGGGGAAGTGCCTGGGGTGAACATCACAGAGCTGAATAGAGTCCATGTTCTGGACCCCATGGTGGTTAACTCTGGTGTCAGCCCAGCCTGCCAGATCAGCTTTGACTATCTCTAGATCTCAGGAACCGTGCAAATCCTACTCTCATCATTTCTGTGATGAACAAAGGCTACACCCACTTTCTGTTTCTGGTTACCTGTGGCTCCCCTACAGCCTGAGAATTTGCCTCTTGGCTAGTACAGAAATAACCAGGAATGATTTGGAATGCCTTTGCCTGCCAGTAGTAAAAAACTTAGTGACTTCGTGAATGCACAAATGACATTATCTCACTTAGCAAGAAATCTAGAGGTAGATGCTCCCACAATGTCATGGAACTAAGGACAACCTCTATAGCCATCTTTGCCTTTCATGCATGCTTTCAATACAGCAACTAAAGCTCTGATGTCACATCCTTATCCAGTGACATTCTGCACAGAATGGAAAGGGACTCACAAAAAAGGGATCTTCCAAGATACTGCACTCTTAGCTTTAAAAAAAATCTTCCTATGAAACCCCCAACTGACTTCCTGTATTCTCCCAGAAGTAGGTCGAATACCCTCCACACACACACACTCACAATGATGGGTGGCAGAGAAGGAAAGGGTTGCAGTGACACAGGGTGAAGCCAGCTGTGATTCATCCTTAGGTTCTGCAAGGAGACACACCTTCACTGTTACTGCTGCACATCAGATAGCAGAACAGAGGTGTGGCTCTGTTAGTCACAGAAAGACAGGGCCAGGTGAAACACAGTGGGCAAAGGTAGCAGCAGCAGCAGCAGCCACTGTGACCATGGGGAAGATCTGAAGCTCTACTGAGGACACAGTACACCAACTATAAACAGGGCGTCCCCAGCCATCTAGCTTTGTATTAAATGCATAGATAGCCAAGACCAAAAAGTGCCTCCAGTTCCCCAGTCTGAAAGAGATGTAAGGCTCTGCCAAAAAGCCAGACCCTGAAGGGCATCAAGACATTTGTCCAAAGGACAAGTTGCTATAGTAGATTAGCTAAACCCAGGGCATGGTACATTTGTGAACCCCTAATGTGTTGCTGATTTCAATGGAAAAGCTAGGGATTTATTTCTTTGCTTTGTCCTCTCCTAGCCAATAGATACATTAAATCATTTTTTTGTAATGAACTCTCTCTCAATGTGATCTTAGGAATTGGGATGAAGGAAGAAATGATGTTTAGACCTGGAATGGCTCCCACATACAGCTGGGACCAGCTTCTGTGTTGGAGAATTCCCTTATGTGTTTTCCTGCTTGGTCAATAGAACTTAATATAAGTCAGGTGTTGGTGGCTCACACCTGTAATCCTAACTACTTGGGAGGCTGAGATGGGGAGAACTGTGGTTTGAGCCAGTCTAAGCAAATAGTTCATGAGACTGTATCTCCAAAATAACCAGAGCAAAATGGACTGGAAGTGTGGCTCAAGTGGTAGAGCACCTGCTTTGCAAGTTCCTGTTTTGCAAACATGAAGCCCTGAGTTCAAACCTCAGTCCCCCGAAAAACTTAATATGAAAATTTTAATACATTAGTTTAAAACAATTTAATACAAACCCCCGCAAAACACAAGCAGAAAAAGAACAAAGGGAAGACCTTGCATTTCCTCCTGAGAACTGTTCCAAAGGCTTGTTCCAGGACAAGTCTGTGGAATGGGTGCCAATCCAGCACTGAATCTGGGATGGAGGCCAGGGAGCGGATGGCCAGAGGAGAGGAAGCTGATTTGAGTTATAGAGTCATTTGCAGATTTACTGGAGCTCTAGACCAGCCAAATGTCACCTTCTCAGAGGAGGCCACTTTTTGCATTTGTGTCTAATGGCCTTCCAGTTGTCCTAACATCATAATAAAACAGTGTTTATTAGACATCCATATGCCCATATTTTGGTCATATGTTTTAAATGCAATGGTTTGCTTTAAAAATTTTTGTGGGAAATCCATTCTTTTTTTTTTTTTTTTCCCTCTTTCTCTCTCTCTCTCTCTCTCTTGAGATAGGGTTTCAATATGTAGCCCAGGCTGATCTTAAACTTGCAATCTTCCTGATTCAGCCTCCCAAGTCCCAATCCATTCTTTATCCCAAATCTGTATGATACTCATACTGAGGAGGAGAATTTATCGATAGTCATCAGACATGTAGGCATCACGTATGGTTGTGTGTGCATTATATAAACATAAAAACAGCATGCAGTGATTCCAAGGTAAAATGTACTAAAGTGCACAATAGGTGTGCAATAGGAGTCTACAATGAGAAGATCAGCCAGATGAAGCCATTGGCAATGAGAATCATGATTTATTAGGGCACCAAGAGAGGGGACTCATGATTGCCAAAAACAAGAGGGATGGAGACAGCAGGCAGAGGGAACGGTGTGCACAAGAGCCTGGAGGCAGCATGTGTCCCATGGCAGCCTGCAAGGGCAGATGAGAAGTGAAGGTCAAAACTGGGAAGGGAAGGCATTTAGCATGCTTGTAAGTGAAGTGGCTCTGCAACATCAACTAGGAAGGTGTGGCCCAGAACACCAGAACCAGCAGTTTCTATTACTGGGAGGGAAGCAGGGAACCGCCAGGTTTCTTGAGAAGATGGATAACAGATGAAGCTGAAAGTCACCTAGCTGTTGCTTATTGCTTGTTTTTCAACCTAAAGTGCTGGCTCAATCCCAGAAGCAGAGAGTGTGGCCTCTGTGCCACAGAAAATTGAACGTGGCAACTGCTGGGTTATCATGTGAGCTTCCGTAGAGAATCTAGAGCTCAAACTACAGCATCACAGAAATATTTTTGGCTGCAGTATGAGTTGCTTCTTTATTTTGAGTCAAACGGTACCCCTGTGTGTTTTTATGCAAATGTTATTTTTCTCTATATGGTTTATATTATCTTATTAACCTGTAATCAAAACTAAAATGTTTTTTTCCTCACAGTTTTGCTCATTTGGGAGTCGCCTCATGGGACGAGGGTACTATGTGTTTGATAGAAGATGGGATCGTTTTCGACTCGCACTAAACTCCATGGTAGAAAAACACTTGAATTCACAGATGTGGAAGTAAGTGAGCAGTTTCTGTGCTGTATAAGATCAGAGCTGCCCCACAATTCCCCAAACCCCAACTTTCAAAATCAATGTCAGCAGCTCGCTTTTCAGAGAACAAAATGAGTCTGGACTCAGGATTCATGATTAATTTTTAAATGTCAGCTCATCTTAATGGTTTGCCTGCAGATTTTTAGAAACACCTATTATGTGCTGTATGCTTTGCCACCGTCGAAGAGCATTTTTGTGTTGATAATCTTCTAAACTAAATGAAAAGGAGATAAGAGCTTGTTTATTTAGCATTCTAGGGCCTTTTTAGTATTACTAAGTGCATCTAGAGTATGCTTCTGTTTGTATTGCTGATGTTATTATAGCAATAGTAAAGATTTCATAATGGCTATAGATCAATTTCTAGTTGTTTGCTATCCTGTAAAAAAAAAAAAATGTGTACAGTTGTCAACAGGGCAGATCGTGAGCAATGTTGTGAAGTTGGTTAAGTTTGTCTTTGGCCCTTCCCATCTCCCTAGGGCCCACTCCTCACCTCTGCTAGTGCTTCTTTCTCCCCTAAACTCTAGTTTCTGTTCCATTTCTCTAAGGGCCCTTTATTCTCCAGTACCTCCCACTGTACTTACATTTTAATAGGGGATTCACAAAAAAGGGAAGACACCTCAATTTGGTAGAATGCTATTGTGACGGAATAATAGGCCTAGACCCTCTCAAACCACAGCACTTAAGGAGCTACATTTTGCCACTTGACAATGCAAGGCAACTTCTGGGTATCCCTACCCTCCACTCCCACAAAGGACATCTGGATATCATAATGCATAATGCAATGGAAGCATGGATCACGTCAGACTGAGTTCCAATAGTCCAGGAGGTCAACAGCTGAGACCCCAACCCTGCCCAGGGAGGCCCAGGAGAGGCCAGAAAGTCACTCCTGAAAAATGGGAGGACCAGAATCGGCAACTTGCCCCTCTCCTAGGTTTCCTCCTGTTGCCAGGCAGCTGAAGCACCTGAGCCCCTTTCACAATGCACTAGGAGTCATAGACCCCACTGTATTTGCATCAAGCTCTCCCAGGGGACTTAGGACAAATGTTGACACTTCAGATAAACTAGGAAAGGGCCACAAGAGAAGCTTACCGTCTCTTCCCATGTGAGTGACTGCTCTGTGTGTCTAAAGGGCACCCTCAATTTCTACTTGTGCCCTTTCAAAACTACAACAAAAGGGCACTGCATGGGGTTTACCTTGTTCTGTTATCTGATAATTTTCCCCCAAGAAGGCAGCTAGCCCTGGTGATTCTCACAGCTCTTTGCTCTCCTGTGTTATGGAAGTGTAAATCCCGGACACGTGGAAGGAATGTGTTGATCTGTATTTCACTCCCTGGTGTCCTGTCAGCTCAAGCTCCATATTCCTTTCCTCCTCAGGCACAGAAGCCCAAGCCACAGGGCATCAGGTCCCTCCCCTCTGTTCAGGACTTGCCTAACCAATCTGCTGTCACTGAGCAACATTGGGGCTGCCTGGGTGTCAACTCTGGAAAGCGTAGCACCCCGCTGCCCTCTCAACCTCGCTGCCCAAACCCCAGGCCCCGACGGGCCCGAACCTGGAGGGATGGCAGCCGATGGGGGCATGGAAGACATTAGGAAGAAAAGGAACGGCCAAGACTCTTTTTTCTTTAACAAGCATTTAACTCTGCATCAGGAGACGCCAACACAGTATTCTCTTTCAGCCAGGTCAGCATCTGGATGTCCATGCCAGCTGGCAGGGGAGGATGGGCACTGTCAGGAATTCATTCACATCTATGGGCTTTTGTACAGGGCTTCCCTAGGCCAGTGTGCAAAGCTACAACCAAGGGTACAGCCCAGTCAAGCTAAAATCCACTGCCATTTGGCATCTAGGAAACACATAAACTCTTCAGTGTGGGGGACAGGAGCTCCCAGGGACAGCCCCTTGTCCCACTTCTCTCCTTCCCTGGCCCCCTCTTGCTCCTGCTGTCCAGGATTAGTGGGGATAGGAAAGAAAAGGCTAGAAAGTATGCCAAAAGTAGCACCCTTTCCAATTCTGAACTAGGGCCAGAGAGATTTAGGATTCAACTCTGCTTATCGGCATGAGTTGAAGCATGAACTCATGCTTAATGAGAAAAATATAAATTGGGCCATTACAAATGAATCGCGGTCAAGGTCCTCAGGTGGGGTCCTTACTCAATGTGCCATCTGATATTTGTAAATAATCTTTTATTGCAAGTAACTGCCAAGCCTCTGCCACCATGGATTTTGTCTAAGCTGATAAGGATACTTGAGTCAAGGAAAGACTGAGTGGGACACCTGTAGGATCAAAGTAAGGCAACAAAGCCAGCAAGAAGCCTTGCTGATGCCTCAAGTCTAAGAAACATACCCTGCACCCTGTTAAGAAGGGGTTGTGCAGGCCCCAGACAGTTCTAAGAATGTGTGAGACCTTTCCGGTCTGACTCTATGGGAGCCCTTGCCCAGCATGCATGGTCCCTGACAAGACGGTTATGTCATTGCTGAGATCCGCTCGCTCACCATCCACCTCCCCATTCATCCATCCGTCCATCCGCTCATTCATTCATTGCAACAGATATTTATGGAGTACCTTGTTTAGTGTAAGTTCCTTAGGCTTGAGAGGAAGGAAATTCACAAATGCCCTGCTATGGATTAGGCAACATTTTTCTCTTGTATTTGATCTCCTTTGTCTGACATTTTCAAGGACACTCTAAAGATGGAAGCCACAGGCTCCACCAAGTGCAGGTAGAGAAGGGCTCTTCAGCAAGGGCAACGTTAGGAGAGGCGCTTACTTCCCAGTGGGACCTCTGTCCAGAGCTCCAGGACACCTGTGCAGGTGCCACAGCTGGAGGGTGGCTTCCCAAAAGAAGAAGGGGTCATGTGAGACATTGTCCCATGTGGTGTTCTAAGCCTGCCGAGTGAGGTGCAGACCCAGGCCAGCCTGCCTGTCCTCTAGTGCTGGTCACGAAGAAGGGAAGCTAGTTCCTGGTCAGCCCCTGAAAACAAGCCATGTGAGAAACAGGAAAGAAAACATTCACTCGCTCCTGAAGTCAGGGTTCTTTCCTGCAAAGTCAGGAACAGGTTGTGACCTCATGGCTGTTGGGCACCCCCCTGTACCCTCAAAGTAGCAGCAGCATTGACACAGGGAGTACTTTGGAAATGTGAGTCATTTCCAGCACAAGTCAAAAGACAGAGTTTGAAGACAGAGCCCAAGAATGAGCTGGCCTTGGCACCAAGACATTTGCTCTCAGCACCCCCACCCCAGCTCCGGGAAGACTAAAGAAAAAACAGTGGCTTTCCCTCCCACATCCATATGCTGTCCTGCCCATATCCCCACTTAGCTTCAGAACTAAACTAGAAACTCCTGGTCCCCTTCTTTGGACACATGAGGGTTCCTGCACTCTCACCTTTTCCCAACATGGAGACAGTAAGACCTATTGAAAGACAGCCCCTTTACAACCTCTCTGAGGTAGGATGTGGTAAAGAGGAAAAAGAATAGGCAACTTGACACATTTGTCATTTCCAAAGCTTCTGACCCTCCTTGACTACCAGCAGCCAGGGGCCATGACCCAGCATGGAAATGCCTCTCTCCAGACTAACTAGGGGCTGCAGGTAGCAAGCACAGGAGGATGCTGACCTGAGGGGAGAGAGCTGTTCCCAGAATGCCTCCAGCCAAAGTAGGGTGGAAAACAAGGGGCAGGAAGGGGTTCCAGTGGGCAGAGGGGGAAGCTCTGGTCCACATGTCTAGATGGCCAAGCCCTGTCCTTTTGTTTCTTCAAGCCAGGATCTAAGTATGAAATGACCACTTCTCATTAAAAGCTACCTCCATCACTGCCCAAAAAAAAGAGAGAAAGAAGGGGGAAGTTTTCTGGGGCTGTTTATCTTCTCAATAACATTCGCCTTTAATTCATGAACCCAAATCAGACATTCTATAGTTACCAAGCACGGAGAACAGGATGTGCACATGTGAAAGCGTTGAACTAGATGCTGGATGTTGAGTGGGGGTTGCATAAGGCAGGGCCATCCTTCAGATCTTTCCATCCTCTAGGCCTCATGCTCCATAGTCTGGTTCTGCCGGGGTGTTCTCTGTAGCCCTGATGCTCAGACTTCATTGAGCCTCCCCAGCGATGCCAGCCCAATGTCTCACTGTTTCTCTTTGGCTCTTCTCTCGTGTTTAGGAAGATCCCTCCTGCGGCAGATAGTCCCATGCCCTCGCCTGCAGGCCACATCACCACCCCTGTGCCAGCATCCGTTTTACAGCCTTTCAGCAACCCCAGTGCTGTGTATCTTCCTTCAGCTCCCATCAGCTCGAGACTCACCTCTTCCTACATAATGACATCAGCCATGCTCTCAGACGCAGCTTTTGTGGCATCTCCGGACCCCCGTGTCCTCATGTCCCACACCTCAGCTTTCCCCCATGTGGCCGCAACCCTCAGCATCATGGACTCTACCTTCAAGGCCCCATCCGCCGTGTCCCCGATACCAGCCGTCATCCCTTCCCCATCCCACAAGCCATCCAAAACCAGAACCAGCAAATCCTCAAAAGTCAAAGACCTGTCCTCCCGTAGCGACGAGTCTCCAAGTAACAAAAAGAGGAAGCCGCAGTCTTCGACTTCCTCCTCCTCCTCCTCCTCCTCCTTGTCCTTACAGACTTCCCTCTCGTCACCATTGTCAGGACCCCACAAAAAAAACTGTGTTCTGAGTGCCAGTTCCACTCTGAACTCCTATCAGGCGGCCCCTCCCTGTAACAGTCTGTCTGTGCACAACTCAAACAATGGGGTGAGCCCACTCAGTGCCAAGCTGGAGCCCTCAGGACGGACCTCACTGCCCGGCGGCTCCACGGACAGAGTGAGACAGGTGGGCGCAGTGGGCGGCAGCAGTGACTCCTGTCCCCTCTCTGTGCCCTCCCTTGCACTCCACGCAGGGGACCTCTCTCTGGCCTCACACAATGCCGTGTCTTCTCTACCCCTCTCTTTTGACAAATCAGAAGGAAAAAAGCGTAAGAACTCAAGTACTAGTAGCAAAGTGTGTAAAATCACTAAAATGCCTGGTATGAATAGCGTTCACAAAAAGAACCCGCCCAGCCTCCTTGCACCGGTGCCCGATCCCGTTAACAGCACCTCCTCTCGTCAGGTAAGGGACCTCCTAGCACTGCCTTCATCAGCTCTGGGGGGCAGGGGGAGCTGGGCAGTGCCCCTGCCTGGCCAGGTGGCTCAGGCAGGTAACACAAGCATGGCTCCTTTTCTTGGTTTCCCTGTAGGCAGACCTCACCCTTTGCTCTGAGAGCAGTTTCTTTTTTTTCTTTTTTCCTTTTTTTAACAAATGCTTTTCAGCCTCATGAATACAGTGCAGGCACTGTGCTAAGCGCTGTGCAGTGATTGCCTCACTTCGTCCTCACAACAACCTACTCTGGTTGGTACAGTTGTCACTTTACAGGTGGGAGTAAATTGAGGTACAAAGAGATTCTGAGTTCCTCACTCCACTTCTGTCTAAATCTTGGGGTTCTGAGAATGGCTTCATTAAAGAGTTCTATTGCTAAGAAGTTTGATCTGATCTTTTGGAACCCCCTCAGGAAAAGCCTGAAGCCCAGGCAGGTCCAATGCCAGGTCCCACCTGGACAGTGGTAGCCTCAAGTTTGGCTCCTCACTCACCAGGCTGCCTCAACCCCGCCCCCTCCTAATACAGTTCTTTCCTTCTTCAAGTAAAACTGCAACTCCCACCAAATGGCAAAGTGCTCCATGACAGAGTATCCACTGGAATGTGTATTGTGAGGAAGCTGGGAACATGTGGGTGGCCCAAGAAGAATGCCTGTGCCTTGCCCTTGGGTTCTGTTCCTATTCCCTTCCCTTGGGCTCTGTTCCTATTCCCAGATCCAGTCTGTCTGCTCAGGCTCAGGCAGCTACTTAGGAAGGGCCACCACCTGGCCAGCAGACGGAAAGCAGAGTGGGAGGGCCTGGCCTAGGGTGCCTTGGCCTGACTGGGGGCACCTGTGTGGACACTAACCCAGCCCAGGACTTACCATCGCAGAACTAACCAGTCACACCCCCGTATAGGAATGAGGACTTCAGAGAGATGGGAGGCAGTTCTTAAAAAATGTTTTAATGTTTTATATCACCACATATGAGACTTGTAAAAACCCCACGAAGAGCACCTACCGAGGGGGTTCACAAATCACAAGTACACACATGAGCAACAGCAAGTTTGGAACTCAAGGGCCAGATAGCTGCCACCAAGGCCAAGGTGAGAGGAGGGTGAGACACAGGTCCTCCACTGGCACCTGGGTCCACTTGGACTCCCCAATTCCAAGGTTGTGGGGGAGGAGGGACAGCACTCTTAGGGCCCCATCTGGAGACCAGACTGCTGGTCTGTGTCACCTCCAGGCTCAGGATGGAGGGCACAGCCAGGGCTTCTCAAACTGGGATGTGCTCATGCACATGCAGCTAGGGATCCTGGAAAAATGCGGGAGTCAGTATTTTTCCCAGGCTCCCAGGCAGGGCTGCTGCCCTGTTTTCCAACCACACCAGGCAGCAAAGCCTTGGTATCTCAACTCATCTTAGACATGAAATGACCCATGTGATTGACTGTCTCTGTCCCAAGCACTTCAGATATATGAACTCAATAATTACCTCCTTTTTATAGATGAATCAGTCAAGGCACAGGAAAGTTAAGCAATGTACCCAAAGTCTCAGAGCAAGTAAATAGTAGGGCTGGAATTTAAATCCAGACATGCTTTGGAGTCTAGGCTCTTAGCCCTACACCAATACTGCAGTGCTTCTGCATTGAGTATTGCTCTGTTGGTGCTTTGATCTGCAAGACCAAATGAAATGCTTAATCAGTACTGGTCAAACCAGAGAACGCCAATGCGCCTCCGCCAGACAGTGCTCAACAAAAGGGGAATAAAAACAGCTGGGGTTCTTACCAGCTGGCTGGGGGGCTGGTCAGCACTAGTTCTCAATACTTGTCACCAGGTCACTAAGAAAAGGCTTTGTCCAGAGTCCCCACCAGGGATGTCCAAGTGTTGGAGAAAGGCAAAGGCCTTTAGGGTCTGGGTTGATTCTGCGAGAAGATTTGGAGAGGCAGAGCGTAAAGTTGGGAAAGCCAAGATAAGCCTGTCCTCTGGGGACAACTTGAGGGTCTCTCTAATTGTATCTGGTAGGTATAAGGCCAGAATGGGCCACCTAGGTGTTTAATTGAACACAAAGCAACACTGTGTGAAAGACAATTGTTTGTATGCAAAGGCAGGTGAATGTAGAGGATGAGTCAATTATAGCCCAAAGACAAAGAGCTGCTTCTGCAAATCAGACAGGGACAGAGGGCAAGTCCCTGGCATCAGCTCCTCTGAGCACCCAGCCTACCATGTGCCAAGGACAGTCACAGAGGAAGAGCCACACCTAGGTGTCCCCAGGCCTGCCTCCCGAGGAACCCAACTCAGGCACAGCAGCCTCTTCCCTCCACTTACAGGGCAGCCCTGTGCCATTGCTAGTTTCCTGAAGAACAAGAAGGCTATGTGCTTTGTCTCCTGGCCAGGAAATCTGATCCAGAAACAGACCCAGGCATTTCGTCTACAGACCCAGGCATTTCGTCTACAGCAGGCTCAAGGGACTCTGGGGACAAACAAAATGGGTCTGGCACTGTGGTTGGAGGTGGATGAGCTGGCAGGAGCCTTTGGCCACAGGTGGGCAAGTCACATGTTCCCAGGAGGGGCCAGCTTCCCACCAGCTTTCACCTGAAGTTTGCAATCCTGTCCATCTAAGGAGCAACATTAAGAGCTCCCCACCCTCTGGGAAGGAGAGGAGCATCCTGGCACCCCTGAACTACTGCCTTTTCCTGCCATTTGAGATGGAAATGTCCACCCTGAGGCTACGTGAGGGAATGAGCATTGTGTTATGGTCTGCTTCTCTCCCCTAGCAATGTGTGGCATTGGAGGGCCTTTCCCAAGCTGCCTTGGGTGTCTGAGGGGGGCTTCACCTGTGTTTTTCAGGTTGGGAAAAATAGCAGCCTAGCTTTGTCACAGTCCAGTCCTTCAAGCATCTCCAGCCCTGGCCACAGCCGACAGGTAAGTTCCTGGGGAACAACATGAGTGCAAAAAGTAGGCATTGTGGTCAAACCAAAGTCCATACTTCACTTGACAGCATGACTTCCAAACCTAGGCTTTCTCATTAGTAAGTTCTCTGTGCTTCCATTTCTTCATCTATGAAATGGGATCATAATGGCCCCTATCCTTTTGTAAGGATTAAATTAATTTATTCACATAAAGTCTCTGGAAAATAGTAGTGTGGAAATGTGACAACTACACAGTGTTAACTGCTATTATTATTACCACCTATATGATCTTTGGGAAGATTACTTCGCCAGGTCTCAGTTTTTTCATTTGTTAAATGGCAAAATTAATACCTACCTCCTAAGGGTGTTGAGAAAATTCAATAAGATGGTGTGGATGGAAGGGCCTTGTGTGTAGCATATGCCAACCAGTGCTTTCTCAAGGTGAGCTAGCTACACCCAGCGTGTAGTTTCACAGTGAATGTTCAGCATAGCCTTAGTGGGTGTTATGAATTTGAGGTGTGAGAAAACCAGATCAATGGTTTTCTCCAGTGGAATGAGTGTGTGTGTCTGGGGAAAACAACGGGTGGAGTTGTGCCTCGTATACATGTTTGGAAAACGTATAAAGAGCTGGGCTAATACATTGTCCTAGATATGCAGTGTGGTTTGTATAATAAATAGCAACATGTTTGTGTTTTGCCCTTTGGAATTCTCCTACAAATCCCACTCCCACGTAGAGTTTGGGAAAAGACTATGGAGATACGTTTTGCACCCCAAGAAGCAGGAAGGTCCTCCACCATTTGGAGTCACTGTCATCCTTTCTGTGCCTGAGCACCTACAGTCTGTCATCTTGCCTATTAGGGAGAAAGACACATCCCTGCTTAGACAGTCACCTCTGTTTATGGGGCCTCTTGCAGAGGTTGTTGAGTGTGCCTGGAAGCTATGCTACCCCTCTATAAGCATGGCATTGTGTACACATAGCTTCAGGTTCCCCACTAGACCCCAAATGGTGGCAGGCAGCCGTAACAAGTTATTATAACAGCAGCCACCATGTGTTGAGACCTTTCTCTGCAGGTGCTGTGCTAAGTCCTTGACATCCATCACGTGCATGGAAGCCCAGTAACACCCTTGTGAGGGGCAGGATTACACAGCTGGTAGGTGAAGATGGCTATATTGAGAAGCCAAGTAACTTGAACCCCAAATATTTATCCCAAAGCCTCTGTTTAACCCAACACCATATATCTTCCTTAGATAATTCACTGTGTCATCTATAGGTTACCTAGAAAAAAGTGACCCATCAGAGAAAAGAAAAAAAAAAAAGACATCAAAAATTCCAACCCTTTCTCCAGGAAAGGAATCTCATGAATGTCCACTTCATTTGTTCCTGTGTTTCCTGTCAGTTGTAGGGCCTCCTTAATATGTAAGGGTTCCTTTAGATCCACTACTTCATTTGCTTATTACAGCTGTCTTTTGCCATATATAGGAGGCGGGATATTGTCCTTTGTCATAAATGAGAAAACTGAGGCTCCATCCTTGAATTCTCACTGTTCATTCCAAATGTCTGGCTTTGAAACAAGTTTTTCTTTTCTTTCCAGAAGAACACAAACAGAATGGGCAGGATAAGGACTCTTCCATAATAAGACTATGAAGCTACTTCCAAACCAATTCCTGGTTTCCATCCCACCCCAGGAGGCTGCGTCTGGAGGAAGAGGGAGGGGCCTGGCTGACCCATCGGGGAGCAGCTGTTTCCTGTGTACTGCCTGTGGCTCTATCCTTTCTTCTTCTTCTTCTTTTTCTTCTTCTTCTTCTTTTAGTTGACCAAATTTCAGTTTTGAAGAAAAAGGCAAAAAGAACGTGAATTTGAGATTGACAGAAAACAGTACCAGTGTTTTCTTTCTATTTTTCACTTGCCGCGTTTATCCATTCTTCCAAATGTGGGGGGGCCTCCCAGCTCCCGATGCTGCTATCACACCATCATTTTGCTCTGTCCCTGAAAGCAGACGTAGCAGGATGTAGGTTCCAAGTTGGCACCCACTGAAGCTCTTGAACTTCAGCACCTGCAGAGTCCTTTTCCCTCCTCATCCTCTCCAATCCCATCCCTTCCATCCCCTGCCTGCCCCTCACTGGTCCCTACTGGCCATCGGAAGTTGCTGCTGTCACCAGCTCCCCTGGACAGCATGCTGGGGGAAGGGCTCAGTCTGTGCTTGGAGCTGCAAAGTCAGATGGTGGGGAGGAGGTGCTCTCCACAGGCTTCCACAGCCCACCATGGCTACAGCCAAATTCTAGGGGCCAAACTGAGAACAGTGGGCATCCATTTAATGATTGGTTTACCCAATACCTCTGTCCTGCTGTGTAGTCAGAAAGGATCTACTGAGTCAGGCACAGGGTAGAAGGGGCCTGGGGGAGGGCAGCAGGAAGCAGACCATGGAGGATAGGGGACAGTATCCCTAAAAGAAGGTGGGAACCATGTGACTGTCGTCTGAGCTTACTGGGAGCCCACTCTACAGAATGCCTTCCAGGGCACACACAGTGTGGGAGTCCCCAAAGCAGAAAGAGCTGGAGTCAGAGGAAGACCAGGGGAAAAGCCATGAGAACCAAGAAAGCCCCTCCATGGGATGGCATGTTGATCACCCCTATGGAAGGGCCAGGAAGGGTCCTTAGGGGGCCAGCATGGAGGCTTATGTGCCAAACCCTTGTGAGAGAAAATACTAGCAGTGCCCACTCATACCCCACAGATACCACAGCTCGGACACTCCAACTCAGAGACATCATCCCCAAAAGGTAGTGGTAAATGCACCCTTTGGAAGAGCAAAAAGGAAGATGTTGGAAAGCTGCTCACACTCAAGTTATGAGAGAAACAGCAATACCATAAGCTCTAGCAGACTCCTAAGCTTGAGTGGAATTCACAACGAAGTAGGTGTTCTGTGCGTTAATCTGCAACTTTGCCTATGATGCATAGCAGAGATGCTAAGAGGTTCCGCTTCATCCTGAAATCTGAAATGAATGCTAGTTTCGCTGCTGGGCACCACCATCACCTTCTCCCTGAAGTTTTCCTTTCCTTTCCTTTTACCTCAACCCAAAGATCAGACTACTGTTAAGTTTCACCACAGGCTTGGAGTCTGCAAAGACGGGAAGCAAACGGAGTGATTTGCATCAATGGAATTGCACTGACAGTGTTTCTTATGGGATTACTAGGTTTTTTTTTTAATATAAAATGATTTTTTCAAAAAAATCAGGAGTTGATATTAAGTACCAGGACATTAGTTCGGATGATTTCATTTTTATTTCTACAGTGTTAAAAGTGCACTTATATGCTGATTTATTTACGTCTTAGGAAAAAGACTGCAAATTGAAGGGATGATTGTTACTTTTTCTTTAAAAAAAACAAAGGTTAAGGCAGATTTTAAGACTTATAAATGTTTAAGAAATTATAAACAAGGTTAGACCCTTTGAAAAAGTTTAGAAGATATTCTTAAAGTAAATTTTTATAGTGTTAATTTTGTAATAATTTATGTTTTACTATATTACAGAGCTAACTGACCAGAATAGTTTCAAAAACAATATGAAACTTAGGAAAGTTTAAGCAATGTTTATATTTTTAAAATGTTCTTTGAATTATGTTTTTATTGTACATTTCTTCAGACTGAAAAGTATGTACATATCTTTGTTATTTTTGCACAATTTTTGTCTTGTTCAGTTTTAGAAGTATGTTTTTTTTATAATTTATTTTGAGTTGTAAAAACTTACAGGAATAAAAACAAATCTCAGCAACAAAATAACCCTCTATTTATAAACTCTTACACACTCAAAGAGGGAAATCAAAGGTTGAGAGATTAAGTGGCTGCTCTGAGAACTGATGTCTATACAGAGTCTGAAGGATCAACTCAATAGGTTTCAACATTTTAATTCTCTACATCTTGATTCAGAAGCTGGAATTAACAGGCTCCCCACCCAATGCTGCTTACTTTATCGAAAGACTGGCTTTGACCAAGGTGAGGACATTTCTGGAAAACTGAGCAAAAAGGGAAAACCCACGGTATTTCTTCCTTCACAATCAACCACAGGTTTACTTTATAATGATGTATTAAAAACTTGCAGCTTGAAAAAAATGGAATGCAAATAAAAGGTTTTCTTTGGGTTTGTTTTCATGGCATTCAACTGGAGCAGACGATTAAGCATTGTTAGAGTGATAGCCTTTGGGTCCTTCTGTTGTGCACACCCCACTCGGCCTTCTCTCCCACCCCCTTGACTGCACACACCCCTATTTGCCTGAAGATCTCCTGACTTGTCGCCAGCCGTAGAGGCTCGAAAGCTCTGGTTGGTAAGCATAACGCAATGCATAGACCTGTCAGCCATAAAAAAAAGAAAAAAGAAAAAAAAAGCGACTTGGATAACTTGTATGCCTTCTTTTGTATCAATGTACCAATTGTAAATAATGCTGATCAAACTTTGTAGAAAATAGTTTATACAGCATATTCTATTATTGCTGATTCTCAGTGAACTCTTGTTTTAAAAAAGGAAAAAAAGAAATTTTCTATTTACACCTTATATTTTGTTATGCTGTCGGCCCATGGCACTTTAACAAAACTCTGTGGGTTTTACGTAGCTGGCCAGTCATGGGGTATATTAAATAACTGTTGTTGCACAGACAAGAATTTGCACCTGCTCATTTGTCCTTTCCTACTATCGATTTTAGAACTTTTCCAGAAGAATTTTGAAGAAAGCATGTCCAATTATTCTAAACAAATGCCACACTTGTGGAGTGGGTTTCTTTTCTACAATCCATATTTTGTAACACTAAGTATTTTCTTTCTTTGTCCCTCACCTTCATGTATTAGCACTACCAGATAGAACTCATTCCATGCCTGTGATATTGTAAGCAGAATAATTGTCTAAAGTAGGTGTAAATAGTAAATTCTATGGCTTACAGTTTTAAAAAGAAAGAACAAACATGTATCTATTGATACTGCCGTGGTTCAATACCAGGCCTGGAAATATTCTCCAGTGACAGATTGTATTTTTTTTTTTTTTTGCTTTTTTTTTTTGTAACATGGCTTTGTAAATAAAATAATTTATATGTTTGTAAAACAAAGACTTCGGGTTTTCATAAAGTAAGTTTCTGGTATTGCTTCTTATTTCCTTGTGAGTGACAATATTCTCATCAAAAGAGACTTCCCACAAGACCATAGTATTTGTGGTGAGAGATGACAGGGAGGAGGAGGAGGAGACAGTTCATGGGACAAATATTTATGGGGCCTCCCCTCTGTGCCTGCCCCTGAGCTAGGCACTCTGTGCTTAGTGACAAGAAACAGATACCACCCCGGCTGCTCTCTGGAAGCAACCCAGTTGGGGAGAGAGCAAATAAACACATCATCCAGTGTGTAACTATAGATTGTGACAAAGGCTATGGCAGAAGAAGTGAGTTCTACGGGAGAAAAAATTAACTAGAGAAGCTGGTGCAAAATGGAGATCATGTCAGGGGCTGTCAGGCGTTCTTTCTGAAGAAGGGACCAGAATGCAAAGATCACCCAAGGTAGGAAAGCTTGTTAAGTTCTCAGAGCCTAAAGAGGGACCTTGGTGGATTGAAGATGTAGCTCAGTGGTAAGGCACTTGCCTAGGATGCTTAACCCTAGCACTGCAAAAAAAGAAAACCAAAGGAGTCCATTGTAGACAGCAGGGGCAGAGAGAAGGACAGAAGATAGGGACAAGGTCACAAAAGGCCTCACAGATTGGATTTTGTGCTAAATTCAGTAGGGATCCTTTGAAGGACGTTGGGGGGCGGGGCATGATTTGCTGTACTAAAAGAGCTCTGTGGTTGCTGTGTGGAGAATCACTTGGAAGCAATTACAAGAGACCAAGTGAAAGACAATGTCTGTGGGGCCCCAGGATAGTTACAGTAACTATAGAGAGAAGTGAATGGGTTCAAGATACAATTTAGACATTAAATGGACAAGACTTGCTTAGGGAAAGAATGACTCCTAGGTTTCTTTTATTTTTCAACAAGGTCTCACTGTGTAGCCCAGGCTGACTACAAACTCATGATCCTCCTGCTTCAGCCTCTGTGAGTGCTGGGATTACAAATATGCATCACCACACCAAACCAAAGACTCCTAGGTTCCTAGTAGAGCAATCTTGTTGGATAGAGATGCCATTTCTTCAGAAGTCAAAAAAACCAAAGCAGGGCTGAATGAGTAGTGTTTAGTGAAAATCAGAAACTCTGTCTTCTGCTCTTCACATAAGCTGCTTGAGGTGAGCACTAAAAATGGTTTAGTGTTCACATCACCCAGAAAAACTCACAAAATCATGCAAATCAAGAGGCTCAAATCTTCCCATTCACATCAAGAACACCAACCAAAATAAATAAAAGAGATTTAAAAAAAAAAAAAAAAACCAGCAAGACTATCCCGACCATCAAGGGCCCAGAATTCTATCTGAAATCTACCAAGTATCTAAAGATGCCACCAATTACTTCTATAAGGTGGCATCTTCTAGAAGATGGTAGGTATGTCCAGGCCAACCTGTGGGGCGAGGCACAGGATCAATGGCCCAAAAAGAATGTTGAATTTTTTACTGCCCAGACTTGAAAAGGCAGACGGTGATGCTGAGCTTAAAGTTTAGATGTCACCTTTGGCGGAGTATGTTTTCAATATACTCCTTCAATAAAAACAAATGCTGAGATACTAAAATGATATTTATGCATGCTCAAGGGAAAGAAATTAGTAAGTTCAGGGCCACTTTGTGGGGAAAGGATTCTATGGCTATTGAGCACATCCCCGTGCATTGTACTGGCAGAGCATACGGCCAGGCTAACACAAACATGAGCTCCCCACCATGCAATGTTTCTTACTACAAAAGAAGGGTCCTAAACCATAAGAGGAGGCTGCACAGAGGAAAAGGATGTCCCAGAAGAAACCAAAGAAACAAAAAATGTACTGGGAATAAATTCAGCATGAAATAAATGCAAATAAAAGTTAAAAAAAAAAAAAGGTTCTGCTTTGTTACAAGTAGGCTTGCTCATGCAAATTACTGTGAAAGGCCCAGGCCGCTATGTCAAGAAGGCCTGGTATCTATATGACTGAAGCTATCAGCAGCTCTAGCTTGGAAGCATTGATTTGGGAGGCAGGTAGAGAGGTATTATTTAGAGCCGCAGGTGTGTTGGTGAGTACTTGAGTACTTGAGTGGATGTAAAGAAAGAAAACTAGACATTTAGAAGCTGGATAGAAGTCAAAAGTTGGCAAGAAACCCTAAGGTGAAGAGAGAAACCCAACAGAAAGTGGTTGTCCAGAAGCCAGAACTGTGAGGTGTTTCAAGAAGGAACAGTCAACGTAATCAAATACTGCTGCAACGTGAGAGATGGCAGGGTGTCTGAGTTTTGCAATGCGGAGGTCACTAGAGACTTAACACCTTCAGTGGATTAAAACAACAAAAAAAATATTCTCTAGGCTCTAAGGAGGATATCTCCTTGCCACTTCTAGCTTATGGTGACTGCTGGCGTTCCTCAGCATTCCTTGGCTTAAAGATGTATCATTTCAGGGCTGGCAGAGTGGCACAAGTGGTAGAGTGCTACCTAACAAGCACAAAGCCCTGAGTTCAAACCCCAGTACCACCAAAAAAAACAAAAACAAAACAAAAAACAGCTGTATCACTCCAGTCTTGTCCATCTTCACAGGGCCTTTTTTCCTGTCTCTCCAATCTCCCACTGCCTTTCTGTCATTGCACTTAAGGCCCATTCTAAATCTGAATGACCTCTAGTGATTCTTAGCTTAATTATATCTACAAATTCCCCTTTCCCAAATAAAGTTATACTCACAGGTTCTGAAGGTCAGGACTTGGCTACCTTTTGAGGAGTTACTAATTCAACAGTAACTACACTGACAGCGATAATGACCTTAAAGCAGATGTGATGGAGTTTGTGGGAGGGAAGCGGCAAAGCCAGACTGGAGCATTTGGAAAGATGAGTGAGAACTAAGCAAGGGAATTCAGTAAGAATAGACAAATATCCTAGGGAGGTTAGAAGGTACAGGAAGATTTTGGATGAGATTGTTTATTTTGTCTTTCAAGAAAGGAGAGTTCAGATTATGATTTGTATGTTGGTGAGACAGAGTAACAGAGAAGGGAGAGGTTAAAGAAGCAAGAGAGAGGTGTGGTTAAAAATGGGGGGACTGGAGGAGTGGCTCAAGTGGTAGAGTGCCTGCCTAGCAAGCATGCGGCTCCTGAGTTCAAACCCCAGTACCGCCAAAAAAAACCAAAAAGAGAGTGTGTGGGGGGTTGCTAAGGATGTACAGTACTTGCCTAGCATGTGCAAGGCCCTGGGTTTAGTCATCCATAAGTATAAAAATTAATAAGAGAGAGAGGGAGAGAGAGAGAAAGAGAAGTCTCTGGGAAGGCAAGGGGGGTACTAGCCTATATAAAACTGGGACACTTCTTCAAGGGAGATGGGGAAGTCAGCTTACAAACTCAATGTTGGAAAGATCAGGGAATTCCTACCTGATAGATTCCATTTCCTCAATGACCATGAACAAGATGAATGTACATGAGAGCCCGGAAGAAGTTTGAGAAAAGAAAGAATGAAATACTAAAGAGAGAAAGAATTACTAAAGAGACTGGATTGCCAGACAGTGCTGAGAGCATATTTGTGATCTGCGATTTAAAAAAATCCTTGTTGTGGAGAAGACAGTCTTGGACAGGGTTTCAAGGAGTCAAACCTTGCAGGCAAACTAAGGTAAATTTCTTGCTATCTGGCCTCAGGCCCAAGCAAATATGTTCACTTATTGGGCAGAGCACAAAACCAAAGGAAGCAGATTAGAAGTATAGCACACAGTAGGCACACTGAATACATGTAAAATTAGGTTGGCCAGAGCCACAAAACATCAGCAACTTCCTTTGTCCATTGGTTCTCTGAGAGAGTTGCTCCTGACAGGCCATTCATGACTGCACTGGCCCGAGTGACTTCTGAAAGGGACATATACCTTCTGGGTTTCCTAATCCATGTGAAACTGGATGAATGGATGGATAGATGGATGGATGGATGGATGGATGGATGGCCATTAAAGGCCCCCTTCAACAATTGAGGAAATTGAGCCACACAGGGGTCGGAGGGACTGGGGGTGTGGCTCAAGTGGTAGAGTGACTATCTAGCAAGTGCAAGACCCTGAGTTCAAACCCCAGTACCACCAAAAAAAAAAAAAAAAAGCAACCAACTTTATAGAAAACAAACAAACAAACAAAAAGCACACTTGGATTCAATCCAATGCTGTCTCCATTAGATGTCACTGTTTCCTGGAGAAATAAACTCTACCTACTGAATTTTCTTTCTGAGCTGTTCGGAATGTTTTCGTAGACGTGTTTTAAAACTCTGTGTCTCCTAGTTGGTTTACTCAGGTTTCTGTAATTTATTTTATTATGCTTAAATATTTTCTCCCCTTTGGTCCTTCCCATTAGGCAATAACTACTTGCCTAATGGATTATTTTTTGCTTTCTGATCTAGTCGGGGCTACTGCAGAGCCATAGTTGTATGTGTCCATGTTTCTGAGCAAAGTATCCAGGAATGGATTGTAAATGTTTATTTTCTATTCATTGCATCTTCATAAACCATTCAACTAGAAAAGTAAATGAGGAAGATGCAAAATAGCTGAATGCCTCAAACACCAAATTAGCCCCGGCTGAATCTTTGCAAAATCACTGTGGGAAGCTTGCCAACAGCTTGGAGGTGTTGCATTTATTGACTATTCAAAATGCAAATCTGATCTGAGGTTGTTAACGTGGGGAAGGTTCTCTTAATTTAAAAAAAAAAAAAAATGTGAACTCTTTCTCAGTTTCCCCTGTAGCTTTCAAATATTTTAGTGAGTTTTTAATCAAGCAGTGTCATCACAAAAGCCTTTGCTTCCTCTGCAACCTGAACAAGTACTATGGAGGCTGTTGTTAAAGAGGAGCTCCAACTGTCTGTACTACTTCACTTCCCTGGCTGATTTCCTAACACCCTCCCCCAGAAAATCTCTTTCATGCTCCAGAATAATCCAGACA